ATAACATGTCCAAAGTATGTGAGACAAAGTCTCACCATCCTTGCTTCTAAGGAGCATTCTGGCTGTACTTCTTCCAAGACAAATTTGTTTATTCTTCTAGCAGTCTTATGGTATATTCAGTATTCTTTGCCAACACCATAATTCAAAGGCATCAATTTTTCTTCAGTCTTCTTTATACATCGTCCAGCTTTCACATGCCTATGAGGTGATTGAAAACACCATGGCTTGGGTCAGGCACACCTTAGTCCTCAAAGTGACATCTTTGCTTTTTAACACTTTAAAGAGGTCCCTTTTTTTACCCTATTGAAACTAACCATCAGTAGCTTTCAATTCTGTGATGGTTATTTATGGAGAAACAAGTTAATTGTCTTTTCCTACTAAGTCTGTACCTATTTGTGTTCACAATGAAAAGGAGAAGTCTGCTAGCTGATCACTCCTAGTATCTCCCCTACCACCTCAGCTTATAATTAGGATATAGTTCCCAGAACAGTCAAGCCTTTAACATTAGATATTCTCATTTTTTCTTAATCAAAGGAGAATTCCCCTACCCTCTTTTGAATTTCAGTAACTTCTTGTTGACTAGGTTTTTTGGTTTTTCAAGTTTTGCTCAGCTTTTTCTTTTTGAACACTTTAAATACAATGTAACCAAAATCTAAAATGTATCAATAGTTTTCTTCCTAGGAATTTCTATGTAAAGGACTGTGAACACATGTGTTGTCTATTCACTGCGCACTGGCATGCAGAATCGGACTTTTTGGCCAGAGAGCAATTCATTGAGTGAAATAACTGAGTTAATCTGCAGCTTTCTTGTTGTTGTTTGGTACTTAAAGGTTGCTTCTTTTCAGGTGGTTAGCTGCACTGAATTTTACCATAGCTGTATGACTTTTGGGGGGGCTAAACTAAAATTCCTACTTTAAAGTAGAAGTAAACCAGAAATCCTACCTGAATTGAGGGCTTAGAACCAGTTAGCAAGGAAGAAAGGATGTAATTTCCTCTGACTTAATGAAACTATACTATTGTAAACACTTACCAAGAAAGGAATATCTTCTCTCAGAAATAGGATAAAAAATTTTCTTAGCCAGATATTTTATTCTTTTATTCAGGTATCAGAGGGTCTATGAGAGGAAATGGGAAAAGCTTATAAATGTGGTTTGATTTTGTATTAGTCAAGCCTATAAAAATAAATACTCAAGTTAGAATAATGTAAAATAGAAATGTTTATATTTTTGGCTCTGTGCCCAGTAGAGGGATAGGAAATAATTCTGAAGTTTAAGGATTGCTAAGGTGGCTACTCTTGGCCTATGGTAGAACTTTCACAAATTTGAGTTGCATATCAAGAATTATAAAAGTTTAGGAGGACTTGGAGAGTGGTTAAAAATTAGGCAGCAATTCATCTCCTCTGCTGATCTACACCATCAGACCCAGTAGTGTAGGAAGGATCAGTGTTGTGACACCTTCCAGATTTCTTTCTGTAGTGTTAAACTCCTATTCAAGGAGTCACAGAACATTACGTTACTCAGCAGTTCTGTCCCCTTGCCCTAACCAGAAACCTGGGAACCCTCCTGGATTCCTCCTCCTTTCTCACCTCTTGATTCCAACTCCTCAATATGGTATCTTTCAAATGCATTTCCTTCTTTCTTTCCCTTTAGACCCAGTTCAGATCTCACTTTTCTGTCACCTAGACTGTTGATTGACTTTCAGTTGGTCTCCTTACCTTGCGTCTTGCTTCCCTCTCCCCTTCTAAGGCACTAACCTGAAGTGTTCTTGTCTCCCTTATGTTTGTCATTACATCATAAATTTCTTGCCATGACATGTAAAGTTATTTAGAGCCTGGTTCTTGCTACCACTCTAGTCTCATCTTCTGCCACTCTCCTTCCACTTGTACCCTGTTCTCCAGCTATTCTGGTGCATCTGCAGTTTCCTGAACACATCATGCTCTCTCAGGTGTCCCATCTCTGTACCCGTAGTTACCTCTGCCTATAATGCATCATCACTACCACCATCTGTAAATTCTGTCAGAGATATGTGCTTGGGTGCCCATAGCTTCTGAGGACTCCTTTACAGCATTTATCTCATTCATTATAATTATTAGTTTACTGTTTCTGTCATACTGTTAGACTGAAGTAAGTTGAATAAATGGTTATATCAAAAAGAGAGCACCTCAGAAATATCTGTTTGGCATAATGTTAGACTAGTAAATTTTTTAAAAGAAAAGTCAATAGAATATACTAATTTTAATACAACTCTTCCCAATCCTAGCTACTTTTACTTCTTTACCTCTCCCGCTCCCGTGATATGGGTACTCTTCAGTCATTTTCTTCTTACTTTATCCCACCCATATCCCTCCAAGGACTTCTCTCTGAGCTGTCCTCAATAACTGACTGACTTCTCTTTTGGCTTACTTTCATTTGCTTGTTGCATAGGTGTCTCAGTAATAAACATCTCTGAAGATTTGTATTAAGTGAAAGAGAAGCATGAATTAAGATTATTTACTTAATGAAAGTTAGTTGATATTGACTGTATAAAATCTGATTTGGAAACAGGACAATGATTCATTTATTATCTATGACTCGTGAATTTGGTAAATTTGATGTTGTTTAGTTTACATGATCATTTTATTTGGTATGAAATGTATTTTACCCTTGTGTAAGTTTTTTATTCTTTTCCTTGTAGGTTCTGGGTCCCTCAGAGCAAAATTTGATCTTTCAGAAGGACCCAGTAAACCCACAACACTTGCAGTGCAATTTCTCAGCGAGGGAAGTACCCTCTCAGGAGTAGATATTGAACTTGTAGGCACTGGCTATAGGCTTTCCTTAGTAAAGAAGCGGTTTGCCACTGGTAAGTTGGGAGATTTCAGGGTTTTTAATATACATGGGAAACATTTGTTTTCTAACAGTTACTAAACAAGTGTCAGGCAGTTTATAATCTAAAGGCATGAAAGTTTTTTCTTTGACCCTTGGTACAAAGTGCCAGGTAGAAACACACCTGGGAGACAGAATACCCATGGTCAGGATAGCTGAACACCTGTGATCTGATTGTAATGTATTTTAAACAGCAGATGGGAACTCAGGTTCTGTATCTGTAACCACAGTGAAAAATGTCCTCCTTTGGGTTCATCTGGAATTATAATTACAAGGGTGTGCTTGGTGTTTTTCAGGACGATATCTGGCTGATTGTTGATGGACCTGGGAAAGTGGTTGGCTCAAGGAAGTAGTACAGACCTGCCATTCTGCATTATCTGTTCTTCCCAAACACTATTCTAACTTGTATTATGTCTTTTAAACTTAGACATATTTCAGAGCTAATTACAAACATTAAATTGCACTTTTAAAGTGAGTCATTGAAAGAAATAGCACTGAGATGATTTTCAGTGCTGTAAATGATCAACTGCAATATTCAGAAAGCACGTTTTTTCAGAATCTCAGTAAAATGAAGTTTTAATAGTAAAATTTAAAATTATCTTCAGTGTCTCTGTTGAAAAAAAGAGGTTATGGTGAAAACATCAGGTCAGAAATTTCAGGAAAGCAAGCACAAAATAATTTAGCTTTCCATAAATTTTTAGAGTCAGAGGTAGCTTGGAAATTTCATAAATTTGGTATTAAATGGATACAAGCAGAACATGAATTCTAAGTTTTGGATAATGTTAATTCAGAATACTCAATCAAATTGAGTTATGTGCCATAAAATAATCAGACTGCATTCCTAGTTGTATTCAAAAAATTTAAGATTTGATTTTCATATAAACATTAATAAAGTGTAAATGGTATTTTATATTTTTTTAATTCTCAAGTGCAATGTGTTTTAAAATAAGCTTGCAAAAGACAGCAGAGATATTTACTTCTGCAGTTAGTTAACTTTATAGAAGTTGTGATTGTTTTTCATGAATTAATGCTGTAGATTTAATTTATTTTTATATGGATTGCATAATGTGTGCCTTTTAAAACAGTAACAAAAACCAGAAACGTGCCTATCCAGTTTGTGTTCGTTAATGTGTCTCACTTGTTTTCTCACAGTCTGAATTTTCTATTCAGAATCTTACGATGGTCAAGCAGTTTTCCAAGGTATTTGCAATTTTAGTAAATATCTTTGACTGCAATTGGGAAGGGAATTCAGAGTAACTAAAAGATAATTTATACTTAAGATTTCTGGCTCATTTTCCTTAGTGATACACTGTAGCCACTAGAAAGAAAACTACACCTAATGGCATATATTTATAGAGAAAAATAACCTCAAATATTTGATCTTAACTTCATCAAAAGTATGTGAGTTTTTAAACATAAACTCTGAAACACTGTAATGGTAAATTGGCAATTGGTATTTTTACTTTCAATTTAGCATTTCCGTAATTATTCCATTTATCATTAAAAATTTACACATTTAATTCACAGATTATATTGTGAACATGAGTTTTGTAATATTTTGTGAGGAACAGCATTTTAGATAAGATTAAATTTGGCAGCAGAGAGAGATGTACTGCCATTTGTTTTGTTTTCAACATTTGGAAACAATTGGAAAAGTTATCACTTGGTACATTATTTAATTGCCACCTGTTAAAAATAGAGAACTTATATGAAGTGATGTTTTGGGGTAAGCATTTCTTAAACTACTAATACTGAATAGTAAAAAATCTAATTTTACAGCAAATCCTGAGTAATTGCAGAAATGAAATATTTTGGACAAATTTTCATAATTTACAAATGGGAATTTTATTTATAATGATAAATGCCAATGTCCATTTTGCATAGTAGAAGTGATAAGTTGTGTTATATGTAATTTATATGAAACCACTAATTGTTCTGTTAAGCTTACAGAAAACCCCTTTTACTATACATTTATGTAAAAATCTTGCTATACTAAATACAGCAGAAAATCTACTCTTTAGGAATATGTAACACAGTATGTGCTTATTTTTATATATTCAGTGTTATCCCAATTCTAAATTTAGATTTGACTGAAGTAACACATAAGACAGTTTGCTAACATGTTAATCTTTACTAAGTAGTGAGCAAAACTAGAATATCGAACTCATATTGTGCTTTTTTAAAATGCCAATTATTGTCCTTTACTGGAATCGTAACTGTAATCTGCTTTGCAATCAAACTGCTTTTATTGGGCAGTTAATATTTTATTATTGGAATCCAAACTTTATTATACTCACTGTGTTTGTTTTTTAATCAAGTATTACCTACAAATGTACAAATTAGTGAAATGGTTAAACTTCTGCACTTTCTTAATTACCACAGTCTTCATACCAAGTGTTGATACATAAATTTCTATTGGGTGCAAGTTACAATTTTGAAGCCATATAAGTTTATATTGTTTTTTTTTTTTTTTCCCATTTAAAAAATTCCACTAATGGTGTAAAACAGACCAGTAGATTTTCAATGGGAAATGTATTTAGCAAGCTGGTTCTTGCTTCTGTATAGTGATAAACTTTGTAGCTTCTCTTTAACCAAGGATTTGTAAACACAGAACTCTAACAAATGTGAGTTTTTAAGGGTTGTTATTTACTACTTTGGGTTGTAATTAGAACAATGCAAATCTATCTTACAAAATTTTGTAAATATTTTTGATTTTTTTTCATAAAATGTAAATTTTACATGAAAGTTGTACCCTTAATAAACATGTAATATATAATTTATTAATTGGTTTTGTGTCTTTTTATTCCTGTTGAAAGTAATAGCCATGCCATAAGTGTTAGGGTAACGTAAGCCAGCCAAGAGGTGAATTATTTGTTTGAAATTTGTACCAGCATTTGAACAGGCATACTGATTGAACTATGCAATTTCATTTTAATTGATTGTGTAGAAAAACTTCGTTTGGATAATATCCCCAAAGTATATAAATTCTTTAAAAAATGTGTATGTGTTTTGATGTATTTTTAAATTGTTATTAAGCTTTAGTGAAGGCCTTCCTCCCGACCAGTGGCTCAGGAACACAATCTTAGACAATTTTAAGATCATATTGTTCCAAAGAAACAATTAAGAACAACAAGATTCCCCGCAAAACAATAGATTTAGAAAGGGAGAAATAAAGGAAATGAAAAAGGAAAGAAGAATTCATCTTAGGTACAGAAAACTTTGCAAATCTGTTATAAAAAGGAGCACTTTAGTGAATCTAGGTGAGGGCTAGGGAACCTGTGGAAAGAATAGTAGTCTCTTACTATTCATACCATCTGCCCATCAATTTTTTTCTTCATTCTCTTTTTTTCTTTCTCCCACTTCTGTTAGGATTAATTGTGCTAGCTGCTGTAATAAACAACTCCAGGATCTCAGGGGCTTAATATTATGTTTATGGCACAGTCCTATGCAGGTTTGAGGAGGAGTTTTGTTCCCTACGGTAATTCAGAGCTCCAGGCTCCTTCCATTTCCTGATTCTGTTTCGAAGCATCTCCATTTGGCTTTCAGAGGGGAAAGAGAGCAAAGATTACATGCGAGTTTTTTATGGGCCAGGCTTAGAATTGGCATCATCACTTCTGCCCACATTCCATTAACCAGAACTTGATTTTGTGGCTCCAACTAACTGTAAAGGAAGCTGGGAAGTGTAGTTCGGTTGTGTGTTGAGGAGAAGGAAACGCGAGTTTTGATAAATACTGAGTAGTTCTTTGCCAGGAATCCCTGGGTGGTGCAAATGGTTAATGTGCTTGTCTGCTAAATGAAAGGTAGGTGGTTCAAACCCAGCAAGAGGTGCCTTGGAAGAACGGCCTAGCAATTTGCTTTGGGAAGGTCACAACCATGAAAACTATGGCTTGCAGTCTACTCTAGAGCACATGGGGTGGGTGGCCATGAGTTGAAATCCACTCCGTGGCAGCTGGTTTGGTTTTAATGGCAAATGATGTTGAGCATCTTTTCATGTGTTTGTTGACCATTTCTATATCTTCTTTGGTGAAATGTCTATTCAAGTCCTTCCCTCTCCTCCCCTTTTTATTGGATTGATTGTCTTTTTTGCTTTTGTAAAAGTTCATTATATATTCTGGATATTAAACCCTTATTTGATACATAGTTTCCCCCAGTGTAGATTGTCTCTTCACTTTGTTGTTAAAGTCCTATAAGCTTCTTAATGATTAGACTGTATACTTCAAAATCCTATCAGTGCATAACTGCAGCTGCTTGCTCCACTTCTTTGGGACCCCAACTGCTGGCACCACAGTATTTGGTGGCCCTGGGATCTTTGACCCCAGGCAGTTCCCCAGTCAGAGATGGTGTTTTTATTAGGAAAAATCCCCTCAAAATGCCAGCTCATTAGGACAGAATTCAGTGAGCAATTCAAAACATGCACGTTCACACATCTGCACAGTAACGATCAGTTTTTCAGAAATTAGGGGGCGTGGAAGTCAAACATGGAAGGGCTACTTCTTTCCCTTAAGAGGGCATTACAAACTAGATGCATATGTGTGAACAGATTTTTTTTCTTCCTGGAAGAAAAGTCATTTTTTGAAAACTGTAAAATATAAAGAATTGCTAATAACTACTCAAATACGGGAGTTTGGTTTGTAGGCAAACTATGAGAGAGATAAGACATACCTGTGTACTTCCTGAAATCTTTGGGCAACAAATATTAAGTGGGAATTTTAAAATAAAAATATTTTAAAGTTCAGTAATTAACCAAAAGTTAATACTGTAGCCTGTCAAACATTCCAAAGCATACATATTTTATAGGTCTTCAATAAATTTTCCAGATATTATCTACTTGGCTATAAAAGTCCTGGAAATGTCTTTTTTTTTTTTTTTTCATGTAACAAACTGTAAAACCTCTGTGTCACCTAGAATTGCTTAGAGCAGTCAAGGAAAAATATCTAGGTATCTGCTGTATCTGTCATGAAGTGTCTCTGAGGTCAGCTTCCCAAAGGAAATCCTGGGGAATATCTG